CATGCGTGTGCATGGTTTTTTTTTCTCCCTTTTTGCCAAATGACTCGCGAAGAACACGTGGGGATGAAGCAGATGGCACAGCAGACGGCACAGCAGACAGCACACAGCAGACAACACGTTGCGTTCATCGTTGTTGTGATTTGGGACAAGGTAATACAATTTTCATGTTAACTCACGGGGAGTTTGCGTTGTTGTCAGACGTTAGCAGCGACCTCCAGAAACCCTCTCTCGTAAGCAAAATCTCGATACCCACGAGGATGGAGAACACCCAGAAGGCCTCGACACTTCATCTCGCCCGGCCTCGCGGCTGCCACTTAAAAAGGGCCCATAAAATACCGTAATATTGCATCAGTCAGTCTTGTGTGAGTAGCAGCAGCAGCAGCAACAAGAGCCCAACCACTGCTAATCGGGTGCTGGACTAGAGGGGAATATATTCGGTTGTCACTAAACCATCTTTCAGTTCCCGGTATCTCCGTGGGTTATCGTGTGGTGGCCCACTGCACGTGTTTGAAAGTCCGATACGAATGCTCATACCCTCTTTGGTTCTTTCGGTAAAGTCACGGAGTTAGAAATCAAATAAAAGATGACGACGTTTCGATCGCAACACGAGCGGTCGTCATTTGGCCTGTCGTCATCAGGTGTGAAAAAAACAACGGCAAGAAACATTTGAAAGAAGTGTCGGTTTGCATTAATTTAGTTATTTTTAAACGGTGTATTTATTTATTTATAAAAAAACGTCAGCGCCACGCGCAGCGATTTGGCAGTTTATTTAGAAGGACGAGTCCATCTATGTTCTGAGAAGAGGAGGGGGGAGACGAAAAATTAATGTATGCTGTCTGAAAGCCACCGTAAGCGCGAACAATCAATTAAGACCTGAAATGGTTTATAAAATTCTTCCAATGATTGCTAAGCCAGAATCCATCTCGGTTGAAATTGTCTCTGTGCTTGTATATGTGGATAGCCTCATGAACGAATCTCTCATGGTAGCCAGATGGCTTACAAAGAACCTCTGTCTTGGAAAAGTCAATGTCATGTGAGCCTACTGAATTATAACAATGATCTGCCACGGCCGAGGTGTTGGTCCTACCGTGTTTAAAGTCTGCTTTGTGTTCACGAATGCGGTCCGAGACATGGCCTTTGGTTTCTCCAATGTAACTACTACCACAGAGGCAACTTAGTTTGTAGACACCAGGGTACTGTATGTCAGGAATCACATCTTTTACAGACGGAACCAGATGACGGTGGGGATGGTGTTCTTGGGGTCATAGGCAGCATTCCTCCTCCAAACATGGTGAGTTGAGTTGATGCCAAAGAGCTCCATTTTGGTCTCATCTGACCACAACACTTTCACCCAGTTGTCCTCTGAATCATTCAGATGTTCATTGGCAAACTTCAGACGGGCATGTATATGTGCTTTCTTGAGCAGGGCGACCTTGCGGGCACTGCAGGATTTCAGTCCTTCACGGCATAGTGTGTTACCAATTGTTTTCTTGGTGACTATGGTCCCAGGTGCCTTGAGATCATTGACAATATCCTCCCGTGTAGTTTTGGGCTGATTCCTCACCATTCTCATGATCATTGCAACTCCACGAGGTGAGTTATTGCATGGAGCCCCAGGCCGAGGTAGATTGACAGTTGTTTGTGTTTCTTCCATTTGCGAATAATCGCACCAATTGTCACCTTCTCACCAAGCTGCTTGGCAATGGTCTAGTAGCCCATTCCAGCCTTGTGTAGGTCTACAATCTTGTCCCTGACATCCTTGGAGAGCTCTTTGGTCTTGGCCATGGTGGAGAGTTTGGAATCTAATTGATTGATTGCTTCTGTGGACAGGTGTCTTTTATACAGGTAACAAGCTGAGATTAGGGGCACTCCCTTTAAGAGTGTGCTCCTAACCTCAGCTCGTTACCTGTATAAAAGACACCTGGGAGCCACACATCTTTCTGATTGAGAGGGGGTCAAATACTTATTTCCCTCATTGAAATGCAAATCAATTTATAACATTATTGACATGCGTTTTTCTGGATTTTGTTGTTATTCTGTCTCTCACTGTTCAAATAAACCTACCATTAAAATTATAGACTGATCATTTCTTTGTCAGTGGGCAAACGTACAAAATCAGCAGGGGATCAAATGCTTTTTTCCCTCACTGTATCTCGCTAAATACCAGGCACTCCTAAGTGATTTACCCGAATATCAAGACGTGTTTTTTAAACGCAGCTATTCGGTTTCGGAGGGGAGGGAGGGGATTTAGATGTTCTTAGGGCAGCTGAAACAGGGTCATCTCTCTTAACTTCGCTTTCACATTTAGATACGAGTCAAATATTAAACGTTTGACACAACGGCTGTGATATGAAACGTCTGACACAGGCGGTGACATGAAACGTCTGACACAGGCTGTGACATGAAACGTCTGACACAGGCTGTGACATGACACGTCTGACAAAGGGTGTGACATGAAACGTCTGACACAAAGGCTGTGACATGAAACGTCTGACACAGGCTGTGACATGAAACGTCTGACACACAGGTTGTGACGTGAAACGTCTGACACAGGGTGTGACGTGAAACGTCTGACAAAGGGTGTGACGTGAAACGTCTGACACAGGGTGTGACATGAAACGTCTGACACAGGGTGTGACGTGAAACTTCTGACACACAGGGTGTGACATGAAACGCCTGACAAAGGGTGTGACATGAAACGTCTGACACAGGGTGTGACATGAAACGTTTGACACACAGGGTGTGACATGAAACGCCTGACAAAGGCTGTGACATGAAACGTTTGACAGGCTGTGACGTGAAACGTCTGACACACAGGCTGTGACGTGAAACGTCTGACACATAGGCTGTGACGTGAAACGTCTGACACAAAGGGTGTGATATGAAACGTCTGATAACGGCTGTGATATGAAACGTCTGACACAGGGTGTGACATGAAACGTCTGACACAGGGTGTGACATGAAACGCCTGACAAAGGGTGTGATATGAAACGTCTGACAGGGTGTGACATGAAACGTCTGACACAGGCTGTGACATTAAACGTCTGACACAGGCTGTGACATGAAACGTCTGACACAGGCTGTGGCATGAAACGTCTGACACAGGCTGTGGCATGAAACGTCTGACACAGGCTGTGACGTGAAACGTCTGACACACAGGCTGTGACGTGAAGCGTCTGACACAGGCTGTGACGTGAAACGTCTGACACAGGTTGTGACGTGAAACGTCTGACAAAGGGTGTGACGTGAAACGTCTGACACAGGCTGTGACGTGAAACGTCTGACACAGGGTGTGGCATGAAACGTCTGACAAAGGGTGTGACATGAAACGTCTGACACACAGGCTGTGACATGAAACGTCTGACACAGGGTGTGACGTGAAACGTCTGACACAGGCTGTGGCATGAAACGTCTGACAACGTCTGACACAGGCTGTGACATGAAACGTCTGACACAGGCTGTGACGTGAAACGTCTGACACACAGGCTGTGACGTGAAACGTCTGACACAGGCTGTGACATGAAACGTCTGTACAGGCTGTGGCATGAAACGTCTGACAAAGGGTGTGACATGAAACGTCTGACACAAAGGCTGTGACATGAAACGTCTGACAACGTCTGACACAGGCTGTGACATGAAACGTCTGACACAGGGTGTGACATGAAACGTCTGACACAGGGTGTGACATGAAACGTCTGACAAAGGGTGTGACATGAAACGTCTGACACAGGGTGTGACATGAAACGTCTGACACAGGGTGTGACATGAAACGTCTGACACACAGGCTGTGACGTGAAACGCCTGACAAAGGGTGTGACATGAAACGTCTGACACAGGCTGTGGCATGAAACGTCTGACACAGGCTGTGACGTGAAACGTCTGACACAGGGTGTGACGTGAAACGTCTGCACAGGCTGTGGCATGAAACGTCTGCACAGGCTGTGGCATGAAACGTCTGACAGGGTGTGACATGAAACGTCTGACACAAAGGCTGTGACATGAAACGTCTGACAACGTCTGACACAGGCTGTGACATGAAACGTCTGACACAGGCTGTGACGTGAAACGTCTGACACACAGGGTGTGACATGAAACGTCTGACACAGGCTGTGACATGAAACGTCTGACACAGGTTGTGACATAAAACGTCTGCACAGGCTGTGGCATGAAACGTCTGACAAAGGGTGTGACATGAAACGTCTGACACAAAGGCTGTGACATGAAACGTATGACAACGTCTGACACAGGCTGTGACATGAAACGTCTGACACAGGGTGTGACATGAAACGTCTGACACACAGGATGTGACGTGAAACGCCTGACAAAGGGTGTGACATGAAACGTCTGACAAAGGGTGTGACGTGAAACGTCTGACACAGGCTGTGACGTGAAACGTCTGACACAGGCTGTGACATGAAACGTCTGACACAGGCTGTGACGTGAAACGTCTGACACAGGGTGTGACGTGAAACGTCTGACACACAGGCTGTGACATGAAAGTCTGACAAAGGGTGTGACGTGAAACGTCTGACAAAGGGTGTGACATGAAACGTCTGACACACAGGGTGTGACATGAAACGTCTGACAAAGGGTGTGACGTGAAACGTCTGACACAGGCTGCGACAGGAAACGTCTGACACAGGCTGTGACATGAAACGTCTGACACAGGCTGTGACATGAAACGTCTGACAGGGTGTGACGTGAAACGTCTGACAAAGGGTGTGGCGTGAAACGTCTGACAAAGGGTGTGACATGAAACGTCTGACACAAGCTGTGACATGAAACGTCTGACACACAGTGTGACATGAAACGTCTGACACAGGCTGTGACATGAAACGTCTGACACAGGCTGTGACGTGAAACGTCTGACACAGGCTGTGACGTGAAACGCCTGACACAGGATGTGACGTGAAACGTCTGACACAGGCTGTGACATGAAACGCCTGACAAAGGCTGTGACGTGAAACGCCTGACAAAGGGTGTGACGTGAAATGTCTGACAAAGGGTGTGACGTGAAACGTCTGACAAAGGGTGTGACGTGAAACGTCATTGGTGTCGGGGTCCACCTCTGTGAGGAGTTCTGCGTGGGAGAGGTTCTGGGGGACCCCTCTGGGGGGCTCCTCGGTCCGCCACTCGGAGACCCGTCTGTGTCCGTGTGGCCGCACCATCGATAGACTCCACAACAACATCAATAACATCAACAACAACATCAACATTAACAACAACATCAACAACAACAACATCATCAACCACAACATCAACAACAACAACCACGACACAGAGGCGTTGTGTTGGAGAGAAACTCCACAACATTCGCAATCCGCGTCCCGACAGTAATTAACGGGCGGACAGCCAGATTTGTGTGGAAATAACAAATACTGCGGCGTGGTACTAAAGTTAAGAGTACTAAAGTTAAGAGTACTAAAGTTAAGAGTGCTAAAGTTAAGAGTACTAAAGTTAAGAAGAGTTCACGATGGTCTCGGGGTGTTAAAGTTTGTCGACGTTACACTTTTGTTTTAACGGAAATCCAACGGCATTAGAATCGCTACCACTGACAGGCGCGGCGTCACGCACTCCCGGCTACATTTACTACTACGGATAGTAACGTTCCAGAAAACAGGTGACACTGTAAACGCTAATTTTATTGCAACGTTTTAGCCAGCTTTGTTTGGTTTAATACATCGCAACGAATCAAAACGTTTAATAATAATTAACAGTTTATCCACGTGGTATTAAATTGTGTGTGAATAAAAATGGCTAATACCATGCGACAGTATAGAGTACAGTACGCGTTAATACGAACATTGCTTTAATTAAAACTACGCGGAACCACAGTATATTATAATTAATGCTAAATAATATGAGGAGTTATTGACATTGAATTATATATAATAACGAGCTTTTAAGTAAAAAAAAATTTGAGGGACATTTTTTTTCCCGGGTTTATTCAGGGAGGCCGGTTGCGGGTTCGCGGCCTGAGGTGGTGGTGGTTGTTGTTGTTTGTGTTGTTGATTGTTAACAATAGTCGTTAACTCGTTGCCTTGTTAGCGCAGAAGCAGTTAACAACAACCGCCCGTGTTAGTTGCCCGGGTCTGCATGGCCGCCCTTTTGGGTGACAGCTGCGTCGTCTTCGATCCGGAGCGCCTCGCATTAATACAGCAGCGGCAAGAAGGTGACCACCACACAGGCCCCTCGAACTCACAGAGCTCTCGATCCCACAGGGCCATCAATCCCACAGGGCCCTCAATCCCACAGGCCCCTCGAACTCACAGAGCTCTCGATCCCACAGGGCCCTCAATCCCACAGGGCCCTCAATCCCACAGGTCCCTCAATCCCACAGGTCCCTCGAACTCACAGAGCTCTCGATCCCACAGGGCCATCAATCCCACAGGGCCCTCAATCCCACAGGCCCCTCGAACTCAGAGCTCTCGATCCCACAGGGCCATCAATCCCACAGGGCCCTCAATCCCACAGGTCCCTCAATCCCACAGGTCCCTCAATCCCACAGGGCCCTCAGTTCCACAGGTCCCTCAATCCCACAGGGCCCTCAATGTCAATCCCACAGGTCCCTCAATCCCACAGGTCCCTCAATCCCACAGGGCCCCTCATTCAGATCCCACAGGTCCCTACATCCCACAGGTCTCTCATCCAGATCCCTCTCCAGGTTCCTGACTCTTCAAGTTAGGATTTAGCTGACAGACGTGGGTAGATGAGCAGTGTCGGGCAAAATACAGTCAACCACCATTTCCCCGTCCGCGTGAGTGCAGTCAAGGCCGAGATAATGAACACCACGGAGAGGCTGGCCTCCGTGAGACAGGAGCTCCAGGTCGTCCAGCAGGAGCTGCTCGAGAAGGTGACATCTCCTCACCCACAGATCTCATTGTTGCCACACGAGGCCATACTTCTGGATGAAGGCCTCATAAAGCCGTTTACCCCACTTGTGATACAACAATCCATCTCATAATCTACAGCTGGGTGAAAGCCATCCACCTCTCATGGTCTAACGATGCAAGTACCCATTTAGCACCTGCACGTGTGCCAACTTTTTATCGTGCCACGCATGACGGTCCACAGAGGCCCTCTTGGGCGTGTTCCCTCCAGTGGCTGCCACTCTGCGTTAGTCTCGACCACCGGTCATTATTTATTGTATTAATGTGTCTTGCCCAAGCCCACTAATTTTTTAGAACTGCTTTTTGTGTTTAGTTTGTTGACCTTCCCCCGCACCCCCGATTAGCACGGTTGGCTACGTATGGTGCGAAAGAGGTTCAAAATACATTTAACCGTGAGTCATTTCGATGTTTAAAACGCCCGTGTGGTCTCTAATCAATGTGTTCTTCCTGTCTCACAGCAAGTGCTCGCGGAGTGTGATGCTCCGATTTCAACCAAAATGTGTACATTGACAGTACACGGTGATAGAACAGGATCAGTGACATTTCATGTAGAAAATTTGATTCAAATTGCAGCGACACGCTTCGTGAATGTTCCTTGTTGGTGTAATTAAAATCATGCGCTCCATGCTTTTTTTTTCTTCAAATGTTTTTACCTTTTCTGTGTCAATGTTCCTGTTTCTGGTCCATGTGTATGTAATGTACATGGTGTTTTTCCCGATCTGAATTTTCATTACGTACACAATCTATTTATGAGAATAGGTTTTTTCCCCCCTTTTTTCTGGCAACAAAAAACACCTTTTACAAGGAATCATGTCTGTATTAGCCACAATACCTGTGGTCAGAATGCAAACAAAAAAAACATACTCTGATAATATATGCATTGTCTTTTAAACTGATTGGTCCACACCAGAGACAGCTTTCTTTTGAGCCTCGTCTCTAAACGGTGTTAGACCATAAAAAAGGGGAAGAAACCTATTCTCATATTTTGGTACTGACAAAGGAGGTCCATGATGTACAATCTATTTAGTTAATATATAATTACAGCCTCTGTACACAGCTGTGTTGTTGTTATTGTGTTAAAGAACCAGCAACTTGAGGAGGAGGACCTGGAAAGAGAGTTCATTCGAGTGCGAGAGGAGGTGTTGGCTGCGTTTGAGCAAGACCTCCTGGCGGAGATCAAAACCCTCAACCAGCTGACGGTGAGAACAAAACCGGCCGTTTTGACAGACCACTTGTGAGCAAGCTGACCCATAGCACGGTTGGCATGCGCCCTGGTCCTAGCAGTGAAATGGGGCCCCCTATCTCGGAATTATCTTTATTTATACTGGAGGAATCTGATGAGCTATAAAGCTCTTTTTCACAGATGTCCAGTAGTTTATTTACTTTAGCCTGGCACCTAGAGCCCTCTGGCCTATTGGCTCCTGTGCAATTGCACCGCCTGCACACTTAATAGCTATGCCACCGCAGCAAATGAGGACCAGCGCACGAAGGCTGTCCACGGATTATCCCTAACGAGCTTATTTGTGGGTGGGTCGTGGCCCATTAACACGAACTGACGATGTTTTTATTTACAACATAGCACTCTGAACTCTATAAACCAGGCGTGGGTAACCTACGACTCACAACTTAATTTTCATATGACCCGTGACTTCATTTCACATGGCCCACAGCCGCACGAGGCCTCCCACTTCCAAACGACCCGGAAACGATATTTATCCGTCACTACAAGCATCTCAGCAGCACTGATCTGGTACTAGAGCGGCTTTTTTTCAATGTGGAAACAACACTTTTCACACATTCAGTAAACGTGACCCATCATTTTTCGTGTTATAATTTGATAACGCTAAGAAGGTGAGCGTTGAAGTGCGGTTGTCCGTCAAAGGTATCTTAAAGTCATATTTGTCCATCGGTTCCCGAAAAGGTTCCTCACCGCTAGCTGTAAACAAACTCGATAAAAGCACTGCACTCCGGTGTGTGTGATGGAGCCACGTGGGCACGAATTCTCCACATGGTGCCGCGTGTGCTGCTCCCTCGCATGGCCTCCAGGCCGAGCACAAGTTGAGGGCGAGCGAGGAGAACAAGCGATTCTTGGCGGAGTTGAGCGTCTTCACGACGCACCACAGCGTGTGGGGCCGTGAGGGGCGACGCTGCATGGAGCGGGATCGTCTCGCTGCGGTGGAGGAGAGCATCTCTCAGCTGGCATCAGGCATGGATGGTGGTAGAACAGCAATGGGAGGGATTGAACATACAAATATTGGACCCCAAAACTATCCCAGCCCTGGGGCACCCCTTAATCAGGCCCTTGTAACGATAGGGTCACGTAATTGGGGGCACCGACGATGCATTGATTCTTTGATGAGTATAGATTTTTTATTTCACGGCATTTGGAATCATGCTGAGAAACGGGAAGAGGAGCACATTTTTCAGGGAACATGTGCACGTTAGAGACATCATATTGACCCGTTAAGAATAATACATCACGAAATAATAATGTGTGTTGTTGTGGAGAATTTAATAACAAATTAAGCAAGCAGATAATATGCCTGCTTTTGATATCTGTTCCTCCGTGTGAAAAGAAATCAACTTTTGCACATCCCATCGGCCACATGGCCTTCTGTAAGTGCATACTTTCAGCAGCATTCATTCAATAAAATACAACTCTGGACCGGTCTCAACGTAGAATGTGTAAAGTCTGACAGATGTATAAAAAATTGTAGGGATGATGGTCGGTGGTCAGACTCAAATCAGCTCACGTATAGGAGCTACGTGGATTTTTGCATCGTGGGAATGTGGGAGATGGTGAGAGCCTGGGGAGGCCTTGATCCAGCAGCGGTCATTGCTGGTGATGATGTTTTGTGTGTGCTTGGCATAGAGCTGGAGAATATCGAGGCTGAGCTTTTGAAGATGGTCCCACTGCAGCAGCAGATTCAGACGCTGACGGAGGAGATCGCTTCCCAACGCGCGCACCTAAGTCGTACGTCTGATAGGACGTGGATCTGTCTGCACTGAGTGGTGTGGCTCAACCACGTGGTGTGTCTGTTCTATGTAGCACAGCTAAACCATGTGGTGTGGCCAAACTGTGGAGTGTGGAGAAACCATGTGGGATTGCTAAACTATATGGTGTGTCTGTTCTGTTGGATATGGCAAAACCATTTGGTGTGATTCTATGTGGTGTGGCTAAATGGTGTGGTGTGGCGAAACCACGTGCGGTGGCCTTTCTGCACGCTGTGGCTAAACCGTATGGACGAGTGTTGATAACGATGACAATAGTGATCTATTCATCGATAATTTTACGAGCCGATATTGCGGCTGCAGAAGAAGCAATTGTTCACGTCCGCTGTGCACGCATAGAGCTGGAGTCGGAGCGGCACGAGGCTTGTGAGGCGACGGAGAGCCTGCACAGGGAGAAGGAGAAGCTCGGAGAGAAACTCAGGACCGACCCCGAGTTTGTGCGGTGAGGAGGTGGAGACCGACGAGGAGGAAGGGGAGGCGGCGGCGTCCGTATGCTCGTCTCTCGTTGGGTGGCTGAGAATTCTGTGAGCGTGCTACAGGTGTCGACATGTTTCCCCACGTGCGTGGGGTGGTCCGTGGTACGAGAGCCGCTTCACAGCTGCACGAGGCGGGATGCCTGATTGTTCTTGGGAGGAAACTTCACCGGGGTGTTGTCTCCGAATCCTCTTGTGTCTTACATGCTCATCTGTAAAAACCTCCTCTCGAGTCTCACCGCTGTTGTCTGTCCCTTGTTTCCGTGTCCCCCCCCCCCCACTCAGGCTACAGCAGCAGCTGCAGGCCTACAAGGATGAATCTGCACGGGTCTTGTAATTCCATCGCCTGCCTCCTCCGGCTGCTCAAGTTTTTCTGCCGCGCTGCTGACGATGCAGCTGCATTTATTTGTGTTCTCTTGTTCACTTAATCCATGCTGCAATAATTAATATAATGACAATTCCCATTGTTTACCCAGGAAAGCCTTGCTGGGTCTCAAGACTCATTTTCAGTCGAGTCCTGCTGCATTGGGAAGAAGCAGGGGTACCCGGAGTAAGCCTACCATATAACAAAGTTGTATACATGGGTCCACCATACAGACCACATAACCAGTCTTTATGTAGACTGAGGCCATTGCTGTACTACGATATCCTGGCTGCCTCGTAGCCCCATACCTATAACACCTGGTATACATTGGCGGTCACCCAAGTGCTATCCAGGCTCAATCTCTCATATATGTAGTTCTATAAATGCTGATGAATAGCTGCAAATTGTCACATGCTGTGTGCTTGACGTTTGGTTTGGCGTGATGTTATACAATAGAATGGGATTCATCTCGTGCCTGAATGCGACCATTAACTCGAGATGTGCAATAACAGCAGGCTTATATATTTCAGACAGGCAGTGGGTCATAGGCAGAGGGGAAACGGAAGGAAGGTCTTGAGCCTGGACGTGAACAGGGGCAGGCAGTTACTAGCACGGGCGGCAGGGCAAAGGGAATTCCAGACTTGGGGGGGGGGCAGCAGAGGAGAAGGAGCGACTCCGTTCAGGTGTGCAGTGCGAGGCGTCTAAACCTAATTCGACAGCACAGCACCGTTTCATGATTTTTGTTGGTTTATTAAAATGTGAACTCATTGTTAAGTTGCAGCACTATTGAACTGTCAACGTTTGTGTGTGTTAAATGATATTGGTCGCGAAAGCCTACGTGTTAAACTAAATGAGCGTGTTACACAAGCAGTGACGTTCACGCGTGTGGGTCTCCATTAAATGTTTGATTATATTATAAACCACGGTCACATCTGGTCATAATTTCAGATTGCATCCATACAAGCAGGACAAACGACAATCGTAGTAGAGAAAGTGGTGGCAGGGCCTTCACTAGGGGGAGCTGGGGTGGACCCTGCACCCTCTGTCCCCTACCCAGGTGCACTCTCCACAGCAGTGAATTACCGTTCTGGTGGCCCCGTGCCACAGCTCTACTGCCCCCCCCCACACCATCCCCATCCCATCTGAAAGAATCTGGAGCCGGCCCTGGTGTGGTGACGTGTGGTTAAATGTGCAAAGGCCGCCCAAGGGGGATCCTTGGTTTATGAATCCACGCGGACGCTCGATGGACGAGTGCAGCGGCTCTGCCGGCGATTTGAATTCGGCGCGGGGAGCGCTCCCATTGGCCCAGCGACGAGCCGGACCAGCTCTTGATTGGACGAGCGCAGCAGCCGTGTGGCATTTGAGTGAACCTGATTGGCTGGGCGGCCTTTCCCGATTGGTCATTGGATTGTGAACAGCGCGCGCAGCGCTTGGGTTCGAACCGGGCCGCTCAAGCCGAGGGGGCAATGGAGGATGGGGCGACAAGGGGAATTCATCTAATTTAGAAAGAAGATTCAGTGTGGAGTTCTGTTGATCTCGCTACTACGCGTGACTCCCCGAACCAGCTGGGTGTTTCCATTAGGGGGGTGCTGTCCGTCGCTAGTGAGTGTAACAGTGTTGTGTTGTGCTAGTGAGTGTAACAGTGTTGTGTGCTAGTGAGTGTAACAGTGTTGTGTGCTAGTGAGTGTAACAGTGTTGTGTGCTAGTGAGTGTAACAGTGTTGTGTGCTAGTGAGTGTAACAGTGTTGTGTGCTAGTGAGTGTAACAGTGTTGTGTGCTAGTGAGTGTAATAGTGTTGTGTGCTAGTGAGTGTAATAGTGTTGTGTGCTAGTGAGTGTAACAGTGTTGTGTGCTAGTGAGTGTAACAGTGTTGTGTTGTGTGCTAGTGAGTGTAACAGTGTTGTGTTGTGTGCTAGTGAGTGTAACAGTGTTGTGTTGTGTGCTAGTGAGTGTAACAGTGTTGTGTGCTAGTGAGTGTAACAGTGTTGTGTGCTAGTGAGTGTAACAGTGTTGTGTGCTAGTGAGTGTAACAGTGTTGTGTGCTAGTGAGTGTAACAGTGTTGTGTGCTAGTGAGTGTAACACTGTTGTGTTGTAAGATAAATAAGGTGCCTCTACAGTTACTCGCTCTGGAGTTGTACACTACACTTGTTTGAATTTTGGTTCAACCAAGCCCCCCCCCCCGCCTTGCCTGACCCAACATGGTTCAGAGAAATAAATATCCGAATTAATGAACGTCAATTTTTTAATCGATTGTCCATTTTGTGTGGTGCCCAGACTGGCTAAGTAGCTGCCAGCGAATTAAAGCAAATAGAACGGAAACTCTGTACGCGTGATGCTTTCTTTACAATCAACGAGTCTAGAAAGGTCTCTCACATCGTTCTAGCTTACCGGTGTGGATTTAACTTTTACCGTAGTTCATTTTCTTAATTGGCATATTCACACAACATGATTATTCCCCAAAGGCTCTTGGCGTATATGATGTAATTCCACGCATTTATAAACAGCTTCACGCGACACCCTGGGACATTGCCACGCGCGCCCCAGGGATTCCGCCTCGTGGCCACGGTCGAGGACCACTGCTGTAGACCGATCGTTTTTTATCGACTCGTTTGCCAACAAACCCTCTGTGTTCATCGACCAAACAGAACTTGGTCACTCTACAACGTTGCCGTACCGAGTTGCCCCATCGTTGCTCTCGGTAAACCAGTTGCTGTCGATGATTGTAAAGCAACAGTTGCCATTCTTAGTTCATGGTACGAAGATACAATGGAGGAAGTTCGTCGACAAAGAGGGTGCGACATGCACGCGATTTATTATCATTTCGGAGCTTTGTTACAGATCTGCATTGCAAATGAGCTGCTGTCAGTGCTGCGTTGCTGAACCGTGGATGTGTTCGCAGGGTCTGATCGTCAGGAGCTCTTTCTTCAACACCACGTCGTTTGAGTCACGGCAGAAACTGTATCTACACACACACCGGGCAAGGCAACGCATTTCATCAACATAATCACACGGTGGCTAAGAGATGTTAACTACCTCGCTTGGTGTACAGGAGGTCGTGGGTTCGATCCCGACCCTGATGCCTGCTGCTGTATATTTGGAGTTTGCGTGTCTCTCTCTCTCATCATCATCACGGTTGCTAGGAGATGTTAACTACCTCGCTTGGTATACAGGAGGTCGTGGATTCGATCCCGACCCTGACGCTGCTGTATATTTGACGTTTGCGGTGTCTCTCTCCCCGTGGTCGCGTGGATTTTTCTCCGGGGCCTCCGATTTTTCCCTCCGCATTAATAAAAAAAAACGCGTTTAGATTATTTTGACTGCTATAACTTTCCACGTGATAAGCCACTTCGTTGAGATATCATTTGTGGCCAGGTCGCTTCTGTAAAAAAAAAGCAGCTATATGGCTCTGTGGGCTTTACCCGTTTAAACAAAAAAACATTAAACCTTAGTTTATTTAAGCAGGGCAACATAGAGATGATTCAGCAACATCCATTGTTGTGGTGAACTAACCCCCGACATCTCGGACTGCTTGGGTTGTTACCCGTACCGTGTTTCACCTGATGCAGTCCAGGTGTTGATCTGTACCACAATTATTCGGTGCTGGCATCGTGTAGACCTTTATTGCGGGATATACCGCAGTTTCGAGAGACCTTGGCCGACAGAGAACTGCGTCCGTGCAAAAGGCGGGGACCCTAAGCAATGGATGGGTCAAAGGGCCGTACAGGTCAGGTCCCTTTAAGGCAGAGTGAAAGTTGCATGTGCCGATTGACGGCAGAGTGTAAACAAAAATAGAGATCCCTTCGTGTTTTCTTTGTGACGTAGTTTTTACGAGCGCAATGTGGAGGTAACCGACTGTTGTCAGTGCTGCTCACGTTTGTTGATCGAACGGCGACTTGAGCTCGAGGCGGGTCACCCCCAGCTTGGGGCGGACGAGGTGGATGACGTTGTCATCCCACAGGAACTTCACCTTGGTGACCTCGCCCACCATGGCCTCGCTGTCCAGGGGGTACGTGTACGTCTTGCCGGGCTTCAGCCACGTCGCCGAGCTGTGGGGGAAAGGGGCCCGAGTTCGTGTAAACCCCGGTCTGTTGGGAAACGCGCAGGCGCGCTACGGAAGCACGTGACGTATGTATGAATGTTGAACTTCGTTTGCACCCTACGTGCGGGGCGGAAGGACAACGAACTAGCGAGTGTGTTGGCGTGCGTTTGTGAGCTAACGGCTACTCACGGCGTCAGCTGGTGCTGGTGAGTGTTCCCGTTGGGCCCGTACAGAGCGATCTTAAAGATCCCTCTGACCGATTTGGTGCCAGACAGCGTCAGAGTCGCCTCGTAGCGCCAGCCTAGACACAGCACAAAACGTCGCAGCGACGTTCGCGCCTTGCGGTCAAACGATTCAACCTTGCCCACTGGCGAGTCGCTTGTCGTCGTTCAGGGCTGCCACTCCATTCAATGATCGGTTATTTTTGTGAACATTGGTGAATGCAGCGGCCACGAGTGGCTGCAGGGGTCACGTGAACATGGTAACGTACAAAGTATGGAACGTTCACTCTTACACGGTTTCATGAAATGTTGTAGCGTCTGCGACGAGCATTAAGGTGGTGCACACACGACTCCTGTTTACATCCCTGAACCAGTTGTAGGAAATTCCACATTCATATGGCCGGGGGTATTCATTTGCATAGGACGACCGGCTGTTGACGTCCCAACGAAGTGGGACCTGTTTTAATTGACTGTGAAGTGACGATGGGGCCGAGTCAATCCGCAACGAGGATTTGAATTCACAAGCCCTCCGATTACGAGCCACTCGCTCAACAGCTGAGCCACCTGCGCCGTGAACCTGGTGACCAGTGTTGAGTTCACGGCAGCGGCTATCATCACCGGCGAGTGATGTCACTCTGACTTGGTGCACGTGTGGCAGGCAGCGGTGATGCGTGGAGCTCACGGGAGAAGTCCTGCTCCGCTCCGGTGTTGAGGTAGTAGATGTTGTTTATGGTCCCGGCGGCCACGGAGCTTTTGGATGCGAAGTAACCCATGCGGGGGCATCCTCCGCTTGGACACGTGGAGCACTGCCCCTGCGGTGTGGACGGTGATGGTGGGCAGGCAGGGCAGTGATGCGGCAGGGGGGCAGGGGGGCAGGAGGTAGCCGGGTAGGAGGGCAGCATAGATGGTCGTGTATATGGGAATGGCGATGAGGTTAGCGTTAGGGTGAGAGGACAAACGAGGAGCAATATGAGTATCACTCCCTTCGGTGTCTCCGCATATGAATATAATTATATTTAAATCCAACAGCATATGGGGATTGTTGAAGAGAAAAATATTTCTGGCGCGCAGTACGCGACATGGAGTATGCCCCTCAGTATGGCCGTGGTTGTTACAGGAGTTACATTCCACGTCAGTCGCACAGTGGCCCGGAAAATATTCAATGGGAACTTCGCCCTGGCGACGCCTGAGCGTGTGCGCCACCAGGGACACACCGACGCCGGTGCTCTGGAAGACAATTCCGTCCTCCCGGCACACCACATCAAGTAAACCTCCCTAGCACGAGACCTTGTCGAAGGCGTCGTAGTCGCTGCAGGGGAATCCGACGAAGCCGTCCTCGTTCGTCAGCGACTCCGTGAAGTACTTGTAGGCACGGAGGTGGTTGCACGCAACAAAGTTTCTGGTTCCTGGCGACGGCAACGCGTTGCGAGCAACAACTTCACGGGGATCCGGGCCGCGCGCTCTGTGCGGGTCAGGCCAACGCAAGTTAAATTGTGGTTGTCGTTTTTGCTTTGGTTAGTTTGCACATCCCCCTCCCCTCCTCTACAATGTCACGCAACTGCTGCCACTGCCAAGGGTCTTGGGCTGTGGTTTTGTCCTCACAGTGGAGCTGCTCAGCTCAGAGGAGCTCACCAAACCCCACGGTCCTCAGCAGCTTGAACCTCACAGTAGAGGAGCACGAGGTGAGGCGTATGCTGCGGGCCGTCAACCCGAGGAAGGCTGCGGGACCTGACGGCGTCCCGGGACGTGTGCCGAGGGACTGTGCTGACGAGCTGGCTGGAGTCTTCACGAGGATTTTCAACCTGTCTCTGGAACAGTCCACAGTACCACCCTGCCTAAAGTCCTCCACCATAGTCCCCCTGCCGAAAAAACTTCACATTTCCAGCCTCAACGACTACTGGCCAGTAGCACTGACGCCAGTGGTGATGAAGTGCTTTGAAAAACTAGTCCGGAGTCACATCATTGCAACATTGCCCCGAAGCCTTGACCCCCACCAGTTTGCCTACAGAGCGAACCGATCCACGGAGGACGCCGTGGTTACAGCACTACATGCTGCACTGTCACACCTGGAGCAGCAGGGGAGCTATGTGCGGATGCTCTTCGTGGATTACAGTTCTGCGTTCAACACCATCCTGCCACATAAACTGGTGGTAAAAATGGGCGACCTGGGGCTTCCACATTCCACCTGCATGTGGATACATAGCTTCCTCTCGGGCCGCAGACAGAGGGTCAGAGTGGGCCGTCATACATCCACAGCCCTGAGCCTCAGTACTGGCTCCCCCCAGGGCTGTGTACTGAGCCCCCTGCTCTACTCCCTCTACACACATGACTGTGCCCCCGTTTACCATAGCAACACCATTGTGAAGTTTGCTGATGACACAACAGTGGTGGGTTCATCTCTGGGGGGGATGAGCTTGCCTACAGGGACGAGGTGGAGCGGCTGACAGCATGGTGCAGGAGCAACAACCTGTCCCTTAACACCGCAAAGACCAAGGAGCTCATAATAGACTACAGGAGAAAGAAAACGGACACTCCACCACTAACCATCAACGGGGACTGTGTGGAGGGGGTGGCAGACTTCCGCTTCCTGGGAATCCACATTGGGGAGGGCCTGACCTGGAGCGCCAACACCTCTGAGCTACTGAAAAAGGCCCAGCAGAGACTTTACTTCCTGAGAATACTCAGGAAGAATATCATCATACAGAAACTACTGGTGTCCTTCTACCGAGCCTCCATCGAGAGTATTCTTACATACTGCATCTGTGTATGGTACACCAGCTGCACAGTGGCTCAGAGGAAAGCGCTGCAGAGGGTCATCAACACGGCCCAAAAAATCGCCGGGTGCTCTCTCCCCACATTGGAAGAACTACACAATTTCCGTTGCATCGAAAAAGCGAAGAACATTATAAAGGACTCTTCTCACCCTGGACACTCTCTGTTTGAGCCGTTGCCATCAGGCAGACGATTCAGATCAGTCAAAACAAGGACAAACAGATTCAAACACAGCTTTTATCCTACAGCAATTACCACACTCGATACTGCTAATTAATTACGAAGTAATACTGTATACAATTGTCTGTAAAATAAGGATGTGCAATGATAAAATTTACTTTTATGTGGGTATGTGGGTATACTTGGGTAGTTTTTATATATAACATTTATTGATTATCTTTTATTTTATTTTTATTTCTTGTTTTATTTAAATTTATGAATAATGTACTGACTGGTGAGCACTTTAAATTTCGTTGTACTGGTGACAATGGCAATATAGGATCTATCTATCTATCTAGCAGCAGCTGAAATGATCAAATCCGAGTCTAACAAGATGAGAACTCAAAGTGGGCCAGGATAGTTTCGTTTGCAAGAACGAGATAAAAAGCGATGAAGTTGAATTACGAAACAAAAGTCAAAAGTGGTTTTCTGCTCAAATGAGCATTAAGGTTGGTGCTCGTTTATAGTCGTGAACCAGTCGTGGAAATTCCACGTTCCTATGGTGGGGGCGAGTGTCTCCATAGGAAAACCACTGTTGACTTTCCTCAGATAATAGTATCCATTTTATGCAACCCCGGAGGGAGGGATGATGGGCTGAGTTAACCCGCCACCAAGATTTGAACTCGCAAACTTCTGATTGTCAGCCACTCGCTTTCCTGCTAAACCACCATAGAGTAATTTAAAAATAAAAGTAACATCTGAAAATCTTTAAAATGCAACCAAAAATCTCGACTGTATATAATAATTAATCAGAGTGAGTGAAAATCTGGTCTTGGGTGGTATCCCAGCAGCTGATTACCCAGGGTAAGGTAACCATTACCCTGGGTAAGGTAACCATTACCCAGGGTAAGGTAACCATTACCCAGGGTAAGGTAACCATTACCCTGGGTAAGGTAACCATTACCCAGGGTAAGGTAACCATTACCCTGGGTAAGGTAACCATTAACCAGGGTAAGGTAACCATTACCCAGGGTAAGGTAACCATTACCCAGGGTAAGGTAACCATTACTGCTGGCGCACAGTTCTCGACTTGCCTTCCCAGATGCCGTTGATGTCGATGATGGTGGAGATGATGTTCTTGTCACAGCCGGGCATCTCCTCTCCTCCGTTGGGATAAAAATCCAGATGCCCAACCGGCTGCTTCATGCCCATCCCTGAGACAACCATCATCATCACCATCATCACCATCAGGATCATCACAAGAGTCATCATTACCACCATCAAGATCATCTCCACCATCATGATCACATAAGCCATCATCACCACCGTGACCCTCGTGATGATCAGATCAGCACTGACATTCAACACGCAAACTCCGGTCATCCTTGCAGCGGTTCGTGGCTAACCATCGAACAAAGGCGGTGGTCACTACATCGCGCGCTTTCAGATGCGCTTCTGCGGCCGTCTGGAACGCTCTTCCTTCCGGTATTAGGAAGCCACTGGAGCTATGTACTTTTTAAATCATCTGGATTGAAAAGTAATTTCTTTAGAACTGATTTTTGCGTTGAGTTTGTTGTCCTATGGATCTTTCGGTAAAGTCACGTAGATATATAAAGATGATAACAATATAAACGAAGTGAATAAAAAATAATAAAAATATCACGACGTTTCGATCGCAACACAAGCAATCGATGATTGCTTATGTTATTATTTTATTGTTATTTTTTTATATCTACGTGACTTTCCCGAAAGAACCAAAGAATATGAATTCCTGCGGTCACGAAAGTTTTAAGTACAAATTTAGTTTGTTGTCCTTCGCTTGCACCTCCGATTAGCACGGTCGACTACGTACGAAGTTCACCATACACACATCACCATCATCATAATGGTACCGACATCAACATCACCGCAACGTATTGCTACCACATCGGCATTAGCGCCAACACCACCACCACCACCGCATTCACGCCAAGGTCACCAACAAAAAACCCTCAAATGCTCTCCGTGCTGTACAGCTCTCCGAAGATGGCCCGAGGAGTGAAACGTTGGACATCGGGCCGGAATATGCGTGGTCCTAGCAGAAAACGCAACGGAGGGCTGTAACCTGGGGTTGCGACCTCATGAGTGTACTAAGAGATGGGACTATCGTGGTTCTGACAAGTCATAGCCAGATGGTTTCCGAAGGTAATTCTTCAGGGACGCCTTAGAGCGGACGGTGGCAGTGACCATACTCGCGTTGTGTGGAGATGCGAGCGACATTAGTGACGTTAACTAAACCAGAAGGGAGCCCAAAAGTTCTGGTTCACTTATATGTGTCGTGACTTGTAGCGTCACTACTGTGTGCACACACACACACACACGCGTGTGACGTCACTATGCGGGGGTGGGGGGGGCGTCACTACCACGCGGGTCTACACACACACATGACGTCATCCCGTCTGGAGGCGGGAATGACGTCAGGGCCGGTTCAGGGGATCTGGAGGCCGTGGGTGAGGGCCACGGGGGTTGTGTAAGGCCGTGGCACTCTGAGTGAACCCTGCTGGACACGTGACCGGATCGAGGTGGGGGCCGGGTGCCCCGGGGCCACCTTAGGGGGCCACGTGGACAGCCGAGCAGCTTCTCGAGAGTTCTCGAAGATGGGCGTGGCCGGGGTGTGGCCCGGACACGCCGAGGCGCATTGAAGCGGCCTCCTCAGCGGGTTCAAGCCTCCAGTCAGCGGACCAGCCGGCAGCCCTCCTGGCTGGGTCACGCTAGTCGTATCCGAGTCAGTGTTAGTGAGTGATGGTGTGTTAGCGAGGATAGGTCGGTGGTCACCACCCTATGTTAAGTGTTTCGTTGAGATAACGATAAATAGTGTAGCCTTCCAAGAGTTGCGTGTGCAACTATTTCGAGCCCATTACAAATGGAAAAACAATGATCGAGACATTCGGGAGAAGTGTAGTGAAGCTGTAAAAATACAAAAGTTGTGTTCTTCAAAATAAAGAAGATGTGCACATAAATTTGAAACAATTTAATGCAAAAATTTGCTGTTGAAGCTGCAAATGAAACCTTTCCTAACGTGCGACTGAAAGGGTGTAAAGAAACGGATGACGGAATGTGTGTGCATGGAAGAAGGGAGAAAATAACAATAATGAGGGCGATTACTGGGAAAACGTGTACAGGTGGCAACACGGCAAAAACCCCACATCGGCAAGAGGCGGGGGGGGGGGGGGTTCGAGCTTCACCCATGTTGGGGATCATCGGAGCGGCGTCCGTGTGGATGGCGTCCACGAAGGCGGCGTCGGAGGGGTCGAGGCGGACGGCGACGTCGCAGTTCTGGAAGTACGGCTCGGACGGGTCCAGGCCTAGGGCACAGAGGCAAAGATCACCCGTGTACTCTTTGGTTCTATTCGGTAAAGTCACGAATAGAACCAAAGAGTATGGATCCTTGCAGTCACGAAAGTTTTAAATCTAGAATCACCCGTGTAGCTCACGTGGATGGTCGGGGCAAGTGCTGCCAAAAGGAGCGCCTACGAAAGGCCGGTAAGGGGCAGCACCAGACCTCCGCCTGTCCTTGCCTCCCCACGGCTGATGTTTACGCACACGTGTGTATGCGCACACGTGTGTACGCGCACACGTACGTACGTTGAATGTCTTTCGCACCGTACGTAGCCAGCCGTGCCGATTTGTTCCAGGTACTTGTTTCGGGATGAGCACGGAGACCTCGTCACAAGACCTCATCATCAAGTGGAGTAGGAAGGTGGATTGGGTGGTTAGGTAAGTAGGTGAACAAGTAGGTAAGCAGGTAGGCAGGTAGGAGGGAAAGTAGGTTCGACTCACCTGGTTAGTACGAGCCAAGTAGGTGAGCTGTTATTAAGTAGGTAGTTAGGTGGATACGTACAAGGATGGATAGGAAGGCAGGTAAATACGTAAGTAGGTAAGAAGGTCGGTACGCGGGCAGGTAGGTAGGCAGGTTATCAGGTAAGCAGGCTGGCATGTGAGTAGTTAAGTAGATGAGTAGATAGGTTAGGTAGATAGACTGGTGGGTAGACAGGTGGGTAGACATGCAGGTTCTGTGCCAGGCACCGGTGATTCTCCCGAGCCGGGGCAGGCGTTGGCCGGCCTCGGCGGCCGCGTGCGCCCCCAGGCTGTGTCCGATGATGTGCACGTCCTCCTGGCGCGCCCCGTACTGAACCTGCCACCACCACCACCACGATCCCTCCATCAACATCGTGACTCTCGCGGCTCGCGACATGCACGGCCACCCGAGGGTCGCCGTGCCACCAGGCTGGCACCGTCAGATCGGTCCGCTTCAGAACCGAGCCAAATCTCGGTTCGGCGGCTGAATCCCGGATTCGAACGCAAGGATTCTCGGCAGTTGCCGGCTCGGCGTCTCTGACCTCCGTGCCAACGAGCCACGTGGCGCGCTCACCTCCATGGTGTTGACGAGCTTGGCTATCTCGGCTCCGACCACGCGGATGTTGTTGGCCGCCTTGGTGTAGAGGGTGCGCGAGCCGCCCTTCCAGTCCACGGCCACGCAGTTCACGTCGTCCACCCCCACGATGGCCTGCGATGCGACAATTACAAAGCTGTGCTGGAACGATCGAGAAATCGTCGTCGTCGTCACGGCGGGGGTACGCGTGCCAGGCTGGACACGGATCGGAACGGGGACGCGCGAAGGCGCGGCTCCCATCTGTATGCCTCGCGTGCACGTCACGTGACCACTACTGCATGCACAGTCATGTCAGCCTTGTCTAGACCATCAACTCACGAACGGGCGGGAAGGCGCGGCTCCCACCCGCAATGCCTCGCGCGCACGTCATGGGACCACCACGCACGCGTAAACGATACGCGGACACTCAGATGGATGTGGACACACAGGAGAGGTGGACGCTTGGCTGGCTGGCTGACGCACCTTGCACATGTCCTGCACCCAATCCTCCTCGCCATGGTCGGTGAACCCGTGCACCACGAACGCCGTCCTCTTGCCGCTGCCGAAGTTGGAGGCGCCGATGGTGGACGGATCGCGGGATTTCAGTTCCTGCGGGCGCAGCGCCAATGGGGTCACGTCAGGGTGAGTTTCTGCACAAGCGAAGCGTTTGAGGCATCGGTGCTCTCCCGCTTACAGCCCCGCAGAAGTAGTGGTGTAAAGAACGTTCCAGTTGGACGAGCACAAGTGGCCGGTGCGTGTACATCGAGGTCAAGATGTCATCGTGGACGAAGCTGTTGGTGCCGCCACACCTCGCCAACGGTGAACATTCATCGTCTCTCTGACGGGGGTGAGGATGCGCACGGGACAACCCCTTGCGACTTTCCCACTAAGTGGTGCAATTTTATCGACCGCGGAGGAATGATTGGTTGAGTCGACTCCCGATTGCGAGCCCCCTCGCTCGATGCTGAGCCGCCGGGCCGGATTCAATTTCCTGGTGTGCGTGTAGAGAGCCCTTGCTTACTGGCCTCGGCAGTTTCCAAGTGCCTGACATCTCGTCTCTCAACCATTCCAGTTGTCCTACTGCAGTTTAGCCTACGGGACCCCCCAGTGGCAGCTGCCCCTGTGCCGGCACAAGGTGAACATGGCACCAACCTGCCAGCGGGCATCAGTCTACCAGCTGGAGCCGATGGGACACAATGATGGGAGATGATGAGACACAGTGGTGATGGGAAAATTATGGGGCATGTGTACGATGGGTGACGGAAAAGTGAAGTTATTGGGAGGATACGATGATGGGTCATGGGACGATGATGGAACGCATCGTGACGGGTGATGAGACATCATGACGGGTGATGGGACACTGTGACGGGCGATGGGACACCGTGACGGGTGATGTTCTCACCTGCCAGGTGTTGGGGTTGGCTCTGGTGAAGAGGAGGAAGCGAGTGTTGATCTTTTCGGGGCTATCGGGGAGCTGCTTGATGGGCCTCTCTCTGTAGCCCGAGTAGGGGAAGTCGTCCGTGAAGCAGCCCAGGTCGTAGCACACCTGACTCGCTGCGCGCAGCAGAAGCATCGTCGTCACCAGTCATCGTTGTGATTACGATCGTCTTAAATATCATCGCCATCTTCGGTAGAGTGTTGTTGTTATCGTTGCAATGATCGTAATCATCAAAATAATTCATTACCATCACTTTCGTCGTCGTCTTCATCATCATCATCGCCATGATCACCATCGTCATCATCCAGTCATCATCCTTGTCGACATTCTCACTGTAATCATCGTGGCTGCCACCGCCACCCCCCTTCCCAAATTGAAGTCCCCCCCCCGCTCTCACCTGTGTGTGCCCAACGCCCTCACCTGTGTGTGCCCAACGCTCTCACCTGTGTGTGCCTAACGTCCTCACCTGTGTGTGCCCAACGCTGTCACCTGTTTGTGCCCCACGCTCTCACCTGTGTGTGCCCCACGCTCCCACCTGTGTGCCCAACGCTCTCACCTGTGTGTGCTTAACGTCCTCACCTGTGTGTGCCCAACGTCCTCACCTGTGTGTGCCCAACGCCCTCACCTGTTTGTGCCCCACGCTCTCACCTGTGTGTGCCCCACGCCCTCACCTGTGTGTGCCCAACGCTCTCACCTGTTTGTGCCCCACGCTCTCACCTGTGTGTGCCCAACGCTCTCACCTGTTTGTGCCCAACGCTCTCACCTGTGTGTGCCCCACGCTCTCACCTGTGTGTGCCCCACGCTCTCACCTGTGACGACAGTCGCCACACAGAGGCCTCCCAGGAGAACCGCGGTCCACATCTATGCGTGAAGAAGACCACAACTCCACATGGATGCTGTTTCACGACGCTTCACGATACGATATTGGATTTCACGATATGATATTAGATGTCGCGATCCGACGATTATGGCTATGCCAACGGTATATCTTGCTGGATATGTGCAAATAACGAAATGTTAACTACTTCGCCTGGTATACAGGAGATCGTGGGTTCGATCCCGACCATGACGCCTGCTGCTGTATATTTGAAGTTTGCGCGTCTCTCTCCGTGGTGGCGTGGATTTTTTTAAATTGGATTCTCTGGGTTTTTCCCCTCTGCATTTAGGGTATTTGGCTGCTATACATTTCTACGTGATAAGCCACTTCGTTGAGGTTTAATGTGTGATAGCCACCAGGTCACTACTGAAAGAGAGCTGGATAGCTGTGGGCCTTACCTGGTAAAATACAATTAGGTTGTAGTGTTTTGATTTAAAGCTTTCGTGACTGCAGTAATTCATATTCTTAGCTCTTTCGGTAAAGTCACGTTGAAGGGAAACAATAAAATATTAAAATATATATAAAACAATAAAAATTCTCACGACGTTTCGACCATAACACAAACGGTTGTGTACACGTGTGATTGCTGGCTGTGTGCACGTGGTGTACCACTACGCTCTGGGTCGACACTTACCGTGATGCTGTCTGGAGCGAGTGGTTTGGTGCCGGGGGGGGCGGTGGCGATGGTTTTATTCACTCCGTGTGGGGGGGGGGGGGGGGGGGGGCTCACGGCTTACCTGGGACGGTGACAGCTGCAGGTGAAAATATCAGATTGCGATTTTTCTGACAGATATTGCGATTTGATTTGCGATTAAAAAAATATTTTTTTAAGTAAAGCTTCAGTTCAATGTTGACTGTGTAATAGATGTAAAACACGTGATGGAGCATTACCACGTGATGCCATCCAGAATATTAACTGCTCTATGTGTTCTAATGCAAGGATGAGAACTTTAAAGATATGAATTGCTTTCAACATGTATTTATTAAAACATTTTAATTGAAATAGAACAACCAAACATATAACAATTGTTAAGTTAAATAAATAAAATTATGGTGAAAAATAAAACACTTCCAAGAAAGTAATCGGATTTTTTAAATCGCAAAAAATCGCAGCCTTTGCGATTTGCTAATCGCATTGTTTCAAATTACGATTTTAAATCGATTACCGTATTTTCCCGCATATAACCCGCGGGGTATACCACTTTTTACAAACAAAACAAGACCCTGCGGGGTATATGGAGGTGCGGGCTATCCCAAAAATATGTTACACGTGAGACATGTCATAACTCGTTAAATCTTTTTAATGGTATGACTATCCACTATGCAACACTTACCTTTGACTAAAGCAATGCTGAATAAACCACTCACACTAAAATTGCACATGTTATCACGTTTTAAATGAATTGTTTGTACAATTAAACGACAATGTATGAAGTGCGCGCACTGTTTACCGGCGACGGGAGAGCTGGGGGAGAGGTGGGGGTTGGGGGTGGGGCAGCTGGGGGGAGGGAGAGGTGGGGGTTGGGGGGAAGGCGACGGCGTCACCGTAGTGCCGCTATTATTTGCGCAGTGCGCAATCTACCAGTGCTAAAACTACTTACTTATCTATCAGTTATGTGTTACTTATTTATTGGATATTTACTTTTGTTACTTATTTACTGTTTTAAGTTCACTCGTTTCCGGTTAGTTTGTTATCTTTGTGCACGTTATGATTTTAATGGTAACGATTGATAGTGGAATGTTTTACAAATGTAAACTTCGGATTAATATGATGGAATTAAGCTGCGGTAACGAGGTTAAATATATGAATGCATGCGGGGTATATGGAGGTGCGGGCTATCTGAAATTTGTTTTACACGAAACGCTATTTTTGCGGGGTATATGCGTCTGCAGGTTATATGCAGGAAAATACGGTAATCGTTCAGCCCTACAGCTGCTTCCTCCCTCCCATAGCCCCCCCCCCCCAGCCTCCCCTCGTGTTTACCAGCATCTCTTGGAGACCTCCTCTCTGCCAGTGGCTTTCCCCGGGGATCTGTCCTCGGTCGCCTCCGCTTCGCCACTTTCGTTTCTCCAGGTGGTCGCCTCATGGAGAATCATGGCACCGGCCATGCTGGTGACGTTCATCGACACTCCACACCCATCCAAGGTCCCCGTCCCCTCTTCTCGATCTTCCTGGCTGCTTTCTCTCTCTCTCTCTCCATTGTTGACTCTGGCCAAACGGTCCATTGTTGCATCCATCAAAACCTGAGGCCACGGTCGTGGGCGGTCGACAGAGGCTATCCCGGCTGCCCTCTCCTCCTGACATTGCCCAATAGCCCGGCCGACTCTGCGTGCCGACCACTTGTCTCTACATTCTGTGGTATCCTGAGCTCAGAACCCGAGGGTCGACTTTCACGTTGCATCTATTGTCCTCACATCCAAATCACCATCACGCCAGGTCTCGTCATATTTGTTCATCAAGAAACCCAAGGTGACGTTTAACTATTCCCTGACTAGAACAGAGATAGGAATAGGGGACAAAGCCCTTTGCGAGATGTTAACTCCCTCGCCTGGTATGCAGGAGGTCGTGGTTCGATCCCGACCCTGACACCTGTTCTATATTTAGAGTTTGCGTGTCTCTATCCCCGTGGTCATGTGAAACTTTCTTTGGGTCCTCCGGTTTCCCCCCCGCACATTTAGAATCAACACGCGTTTAGAGCGTTTGGCTGCTATAAATTTCCACGTGATAAGCCACTTGATTGAGCTATTATTTGATGCAAGGTCGCATCTGGAAAGGAGCTATATAGCTCAGTGGGCCTTACCTGTATAATGTAGCTCTCAGAGACACCGTCTTGTTCAGTTATATGTATATTTATTATGAATAAAGTCCGCCGACTCACTGATAACTTTGTGACTATATACACTTGGGTAACTTAGATAGATCTTGACTTAAAGCTTTCGTGACTGCAGGAATTAATACTCTTTGGGTCTTTCTATCTACGTGACTTTACCGAAAGTCCCAAAGAGTATAACTGAGATAGCTCTATTTTGAGACAACGTAACTCTCGCCTTCCAAGACTGCAAGGTGCCCACTCCAGGACGATGAAGACGACCCGCTCCAAGATGACGACGGCGACGGCAGTGCCCCCACTTCAGCAGCCCAGAGCCCCGGTTCGCGCCGGCTTTTATCCCCCTCACGACCCGGCCACGCCCCTAATCCCGAACCCTCTCTCACTGCACCTGGCCCTGTCTGTCTCTGCCCTTATTACAATTTACGACCGTTAGGGTCCCGTGCTTCCCCTCACACGACCCTGTCAACTCGTGTCCCATCAATCATTATTAGCAACCACTTAGGTCCCACGTTACCCTAACGTGACCCTGTCTGTTCCCGTTACGTTAATTAGTAACCAAGGTCACAGGGAGCCGTACTGTGCCTACCTCACCCCGTACTGTCCTTACACCTGCAAAAACAATAGTTTAGTTTATAGTTTCATTTATGCAGCCCTGGGTCGACCGGCATGTCTATCTTCCACCGTCTCTTTATAGGCTTCATCGCGCAACCTTCGATCTGTTTTGAGTGGCCTCCTCATCCTCCTCCTCCTCGTCCTCCTCCTCGTCCTCCTCGTCCTCCTCCTCCTCGTCCTCCTCGTCAAGGCCCGAGTCTCTGGAACCCAGACGTGGGGGAACGTCGCACCTCCGGTCGTCTGGGATGCACTCCCGAATCTCGCACTGTGCCTAAACGGCGTCACTGTGCGCCTTTTGTCAGAACCTCGAGATACTCCCCCTGCCCCCCCCCCTTTCTTTCGTTTCTTCTCCCCGTGCGTCTGAATGTCCTTTTGATGTTTCAATTTGCGCGCGTTACAAACGTAACAATGAGCAGATGGATGGAAGAGCGACGTTGGACATTGTCTATCCACAGTTGGATGGAGTTCTCCACATGTCGGGGCCACCTGGACGGTGGTCGCCCTCTCGGGTGTACTCCCGCCGAGGGCAGCCACTCTGTCGTTCATTGTGGGTGGCATTGGTCGTGAAAGCCCACGCGTTGCACTCCCTCGTTTCTCTCGACCATCGGCCATTGCCCCCTTCTTGCCACACGGTGCCCAAGCTGACGCCCGCTTCGTTTCATCGGCAGTCGCCTCGACGTCTCCAAGACGTCCTCCTGAACGTCTTCCATCCATCAGCTGCCACTCCCCCCATCATTACTCTCGATCGGCGGCCACGGTCGCTTCTAGCGATGAGTACTGCCCTTGCTCGCTCGTTGATGTGACCAAACTATAAT